AAAAACTGATAATTCGAATTTTCCCTGTAACTACCCCTCTAACTTGGTGTCGAATGTTTCCTTTCAGTAAGCTATCGAATGGTCCATCGCAAGACCAATTTGGTTTAAGGGCACCTTTGACCCTCTTATCTTGCTATACCCTTTGAAAAATAAAAAATAATTAAAAACAGATTTAAAGATTTTCACCCCTTCTATGTGGACGATTGCTGATAAAAAAATTAGTCTAAATGGGGATTTCCCTCTTAAGGATGCTTTTGACTCCCTTATCCTACAATACCCTTTGAGAATTAAAAAATTAAGAACCAATTTAAAGATTTTCACCCCTTCTATGTGGACAATTGCTGATAAAAAAATTAGTCCAAATGGGGATTTCCCTCTTAAGGATACTTTTGACTCCCTTATCCTACAATACCCTTTGAGAATTAAAAAATTAAGAACAAATTTAAAGATTTTCACCCCTTCCATGTGGACAATTACTGATAAAAAAATTAGTCCAAATGGGGATTTCCCTCTTAAGGATACTTTTGACTCCCTTATCCTACAATACCCTTTGAGAATTAAAAAATTAAAAACAAATTTAAAGATTTTTTACTTCAACTTTAAGGGCGATCCTCGTCCCTTCAATGTGGACAAGTGCTGATAAAAAAAATAGTCCAAATGGGGATTTCCCTCTTAAGGATACTTTTGACTCCCTTATCCTACAATACCCTTTGAGAATTAAAAAATTAAGAACAAATTTAAAGATTTTCACCCCTTCCATGTGGACAATTACTGATAAAAAAATTAGTCCAAATGGGGATTTCCCTCTTAAGGATGCTTTTGACTCCCTTATCCTACAATACCCTTTGAGAATTAAAAAATTAAAAACAAATTTAAAGATTTTCACCCCTTCTATGTGGACAATTGCTGATAAAAAAATTAGTTCAAATGGGGATTTCCCTCTTAAGGATACTTTTGACTCCCTTATCCTACTATACCCTTTGAAAAATAAAAAAGTAATTAAAAAAAAGTTTAAAGATTGTCACCCCTTCTATGCGGACGATTGCTGATAAGAAAAGAAATACTCGAAATGGGAATCCCCTGTTAAAGCGTAGACACCAGATGTCGTTGCCTAAAGCGCGCCACTGCATTTTGGGTCTTGGTCGCGTAGCTTACAGTTAGACACGCCATATGACGTCTTACACTACTGTGTCCAGTTAAAACAGACACCCTGTATGTTGTACTCTATGCTACACGGAACTTTCACAAAATATTTCGGCTTCCATTACCGGCGTACGCATTGTCGCGCAGTCAGTCGGTATTCGGCAAAGCCTCGAGCGAGTTGATAAGATGCTGCGATCGCGTGGCCAAGTATCACAAAGGGAAATAAAGTTGCACGCGGTACGCGATCGAATTGAAACGGACTCGTTCTACCGCACACATATATTTCTTTTCGTTTCGTTCCCACTCACGCGCCTCCATTAAGCTCTCCTCGTCCGGCTGGCTAATATAGCCTACGATATATCGAATATATTCGAAACTACTGTATCGTACAAAATTTTTATCCGAATCGACGCGGTTCACTCGATGTTCCTTGTGAGTAACAGTGGAAACTTTTTAGATTTACTCGATCATGGTTGGTAAAAAGTGGAAATTAAAATTTTTGGAAAAAATGGTTGTTTTTTTTTTTAATTTTCGTAACATGGAGAAAAGAGCATACTGTTTTGAAAATTTCTACTGTAAGATTGTTTACGAAGCGACAAATCTGCTTTGTTAGGATTTTTATTGAGAAACGCATTGAACGCACTTCATCATTGCTGGTTGAAGAGAAAATAAATGATTATAAATTTAATGGCTACTATCGTTATTGGAAAGAGAGATATTATAATTCTATACGCAAGGCGAGTTTATCTTCAATTTTTCATATTTTTTAATATTAAAGAGTTCTACAAACTGACCAAGTTTTTTCCGAAGAAAGCTGGGGAACAAGTAGAAAGCTCTTCTTGTCAGACACTACATTTTCGCGGAGGAACATAATTTTGTACGTTTATTAACATAAGCAGCACGTTTATAAATCATCGTTACGCTGCCTTAAAATTTGGTCACTTTTTTGGTGTCCAGAGTTGAGGTCGTAACTTATATGACGAAATGTATTCTAATGAGTGCTGCAAGGTGTAATATAAGTAACGGTGACATTGAAAAATTCGACTGTAAAAATCTCGGAAAAAGTTTCATTGCACTGTATTTCTTCTTTTGGACTATTCGAATCATATTTTTATCATTTTCCGTATTAAAATTTTCAAACCCAACTTTTACGAAAAAGTCTACTTAAATTTTTAAAGAAATTTCAATATTTTTTTAGTATTTTAGTTGCTACAATAATAATAAATTTAACGAAACAGTATTATACAGAAGAATAAATAAATGTTGCTTAAGTATTACTTGAAAAATTGTTACATATGAAAATTGCATAATTTCGAGACAGTACGATTTATGCAGCAAGTGCACTTTTCTTGCGAATCAAGGTCTTTTTCAAATTTAAAGGTCAATTTTGTTTACTCCAACAAAAGTGTTATTCTTTTCATGTAAAAACCCCAAAAAACTTAAAATTCTGACAGTCGATAAAAATGTATTAACATTTCTTCTAAACTTAACATTTAACCATCTGTCTGTACTTTAGTATCGATAACGTCGTTAATCACTATGTGACAGCTGTGACATTGCAACCATGTCCTTGCCAGCACACTCTTAGAATATTTCAAAAATTACTCTCTTACTGTGACAAAAATACA